ATCTTTAGTGTAATTCGGGATATTTGATATTTTGAAGAAAAAAATAGTGATTTCTAATAAAAAAGAATTAACACATAAGTGAAATATATATATTTTTATAATCATTGATATTTTATCTATTAATTGATTAATTCGGACATAATATTGTAGAGACTAATATAATTCTTCCAATCTAGTTTGATTTATTCTTAAATATTATTTTTTAAATTCTGATCTTACTTAAAATATATAATACATCATCCTATTAAACTAAATGATTGATGTTCGAGTGAAGGTACCTTGTTGATTGCACCGAATTAACACATAACGAAGGCGGCTTTCGAAAAGAGTGCCATTGAATTTCCTCAAAAATGACCGTCACTTTCTTAAACCCTTGAACTGGTTAATTAGTCGTAATAAACGATGAAACGATTAGTTAAATCAATCGAAATTGTCAAAAGCACTTTAAAAACACTTTTATAATTGTAAATAGAATTGTCCGGCCATGATTCCATCCTCTCTAATCACTACCCATAACTTGTATTAAATTCGGACAAATGTTCCATGCGCTTGCAGAAGTTAGTCATCTTTTAACCTCCTAATAAGACAGAATCAGCTTGGTTAATGAAGAAATTAACCCGGAAATAATCATGGATGAGTTAATTTAATTACTATATATTTTATTAATTATTTAATTAATAATTAATAATTAAACTATAATCATTAGTTTTCATCTTGGTTAATGAAGAAATTAACCTGGAGTCTTACTCTAGTTTCATCGCTGATTATAATATTAGTTTTCACAACAATTATAATTTTTTTTACGACAGTAATAAAATGATGATAAACACAATCAACGCGTGTCGATAAAAATAAGGAAGGCATCGTTCAAATAAAGAATGTGAGGAGAAAGGTATTGGCGGCCAGAGAATTCATCAAATTCATGCATTGATGGGTGTGGGTCCCAAATACCACCATCACGGAGATCACCCCATCAAAATCAAAAGGACATCATCTCACGTGGTATGTGATTCCACGCCAGATTGTCCCCACGTCCACGTGGGCTCCATGACGGTGGAGGGGCCCTCCCACCGCCCAAGCAGAAACTAGCAAAACCCCGCTTGGCCTAACTCTAACTTTCCATTACCACGGCTGCGTCCAATCAGCAAAACGACGCCACCACAAAAACGACAGTTTTCTTTTGTTTCCTTCCCTGTTGTTAGGTCTCGAACTCAAATGGAAATAACCATCATGATAAGGGGGCGTTTGTTTATGGTCATATTGGATTATTGGAGAATGAAATGTTATTTTCTCGTTTAATTGGTAAATATTTTTAATTTTTGGTAATAAGTTATTTCTAACAGTGGTCTTTTGGGGATATATTATCGGGAACGTGATTAGTCATTCCCTTTGATATTGTTACATTCCTGGCATTTTGGACTAAAATACCCTTAATTTTTTTTTCAAAAATATCTTTTTTTTCGTTGAATAAAAAAATCTACGAAAGTTAAAAAACAAAATTATCATTAAACTATTTTAGATTTTTTTAAAAAAATCCATAATTAAAATTTTATATGAAGTTCAAGAGTTAAAATAAAATTTTACCCTTTCATTAAACCTATTTATCTTTTAATTTTGTAAAAAAAGTATATAAATTTTATGAGTTTAAATTTTTAAAGAAAATATATAAATTAAGTATAGTAAAATTATAGTATAATTTAACTTGTTAAAAAAACAAATATATAATAAAGACAATTTGGTAAAATATACATTCCAATAATCTTTTATTCCTTTAACAAACACTGTAATCTTACATTTCTGCTAAACAAACCAAACACAATAATGTAACATTCCCAATAATTTTATTCACACCGATAACCTATTTCCGCCGGTGATCTTACATTCCGTGAACCAAACGTACCCTAAGTTCATGGGGCCGGAAGAATAAAACACATAACTCTAACTCTAATATATGGCGTTACATTTGAAATAAGAAATTTTGCATGTTCAGTTATTTGAATTTCAAATCTCCGATTTTTGGATTACATATTTGGTGATATATGCCAAGTGAACTAAGGGCATTGAGAAAACAACAATGCACAGCAAATGGATAGCAGTGGTAATGTGATTGTTAGGGATATGGAGATATGTCCTACGATCCAAAAATATTTTTACGAATAAGTTACGAGTGTATATATATCAATAATATAATTTTTTTAATTAGATGAACATAAATTATTTTTCAGAATAAACATTATAAATACAAAAATAAATAAAAATTTTAATAGACATTTTTCTACTTTATAATATACTTGCATCCGTCACTACCCATGACCTCCTATCAGAGGTGGAAAGTCATAGTCCAAGTAATCAGCCAGATCAGAATTTGATTCGTTTCCTGCAAGTAAATTACATCCATTGGTTGCCCCCTTTTTTTGGCATGGTCGGCTCAAACTTTTTCTACATCACCTTTGAACTTAATAATTTTTGCTGTGCATCTTTTGTAAAAATAATGAATAGAAACCATAAATGAAAAGAGAAACTAAATAAGATTTTATCTAAAAAATTTAGACATGTGGATTAAAAGAAAATAAATTTGTCATCTTAAAATTATATAAAATAATTATAAAATCAAATCAAATTAAATATAAATTCCAATCTCTTATAATGATTAATATTGATATCAAATTCCACCACTTACTTTTGTGCTAAATTTCAAACGGGTCTCTTTTACTTCTATGAATAGTCACTCTCTCTAAGCACACTTAGAGGTGGGTATATGGGCTAAGGTCCGCGGGCTATCCGTTTAACCCGCGACTCGTGCGGGTTTTGGACATCAAAAATTGAAGTTCATTTAAATTGCGGGCTTTTTAGTCCGGATCGTTAAACCCGTAGGTTTAATGGGTATAATCGCGGGTAGCCCGCAAAAGTCCGCTTAATTTAAAATTTATAAAATTTTAGAGAAAATAAACTTAAAGAATTTTATAGAAAAATAAAATAAATTACCTATAAATATGATGTTACTTATAACCATTGTAGTTCTTAAATTTATTAGGGCATTTTTCATAATTCTACTATTGCTTGATATTTTTTTTCATTTACAATGTATCAAATTATTCTTCATTTTAAAAAACAAAAGTTAAAAGATTTATATAGTATTTTAGTCTTATAAAATTTACATCATTATCACTTTGGTATTTAAAGATTTTTTTATTTAATTTTGACCTTTATTTTTTTTCATGAAGTATGTTATTCATTTCGTTCTTTAATTACAAAAAGTCACGTGATATTCTAATAATATATCATATGATACGTAATATTTAGATTAAAAATAAGAAATAAAAGTAAAAGAAAAAAATTGAAAACATATTTTTCAACTTTTAAAGGCTTTTACAAAAGAAAAATTGTTAGATTTGTATAATGTTTGACTTTGTTGAATTTTTCTATTTGAATTTCTGCTTGCAGACACTCATGTGTCTTCATATTATAGCATTGAATAATCGTGTTTTATAAAAGTATATTGCGGTTATTGTTTTATTTGTTTTTCAATTTGGCGATATAAGTGAATCTTGTTTTTTTTTTAATTTGAGTTTAAGTAATTATATTGTTATATATATTAATGATTAAAAAAAATTAAAAAAAATATTATTTTATAATCATTTCCGGGTATTTAAAAAAATTAAATATTATTTATTATTTTGACGGTGCTATCTTCCTTTTCAAGTTACTGGATCATTTTTAAAGATGTAGCAAGTTAGAACATTATTTTTTTATTGCATTTAAAGCATTTAAAATTTTTTTTATTTAACGGGCCACGGGTTAAACGGACGGACCACGGGCCTTAAAATTCAAAACCGTTTATGATTGCGGGCTTTTTAAACCGCTCCGTTTAAACCCACACTGTCAAAACCCGCGGACTAAACGGGCGGGTAGCCCGTATACCCCCTCTAAGCACACTTTAGAACCCAAAATTATGACTTACCTGATAATGGCCTCCATTATTTCTCACGCAAAACAAATTAAGTTTAAATAGGAAATAAGCACAAGCATCAATTAAGAATGGAATTATTATTTTAATTCTTTTATTTAACACGTCACTCACACTCAACTGATTTATTTTTCTATCTATGGTTGATAAAATAAAATTTCTACAAATAGATTTAGGATACTATCCTAAGCAATTTTTTATACTAATAAGATAATTAATTTTACATAATGTAATTTTATACTTATACGTGTAGTTTAATGAATTAATTTTTAATGTACTAATAATACATAAATTTTATGGATCATCAACATATATGTGGACTGTTGAATAGAAATTGAGAGGTAAAAATTGAACATGTATTTTGGAAAGATAATCAAATTACGGATGACATGACTAGATTTACTCGAACAAATGATGGAAGATGCTACCTTTACGCATCGCCACCGGATGGTATAATGGCACTACTCCAAGAGGAAGAAGAAAGTTAGAGTTACTGCTTAAGGGTTCATCTATTTTGCTCACAAAAAAAAGTTCTTTATTAATCTTCTAATAATATGTTTTATTTAGTTTACATACAACACATAAAATTATACACGAGATCTATAGGAAAAACAACACTAATTTTAATCATTAAGATTATTTAATAGATTTTAATTTAAGACTATTAAACATATCACTCCTATATAGTCAGAACAAAAAATATATTTCCTAAAAAAATAATTTATTGATTACATATGGCATCGAATACCATTAAACAAAAAAAAATATTTCCTAAAAATTAACAGATCAATTACATTTTCCATTTCAAGATTGATTTTCCATTTGCTGCATTAACCTAATTTCTAAGAGAAACGTTAAAACGGGTAAAAACTTGAGCCAGATAAGCTAATGAGTAAGTTACCTTGTACTCCGTGAGATGAGTTGTCAAATCAAAGATTCTTGAATGGCACGCACCACCTATCATCAACCTTTACGCCTCTATTACCTCTATATAAGACACTCGCTTTTCATACATCCATGTATAACAAATTAGAGCAATCTTTCACTCCAATTATTTCCCCTTCCATAGTTTTCTTCCCAGTTCTAATTTCATCTCTTTGGGTTTCCTATGGCTACTGCTGAGGTATTGGCAAATTCTTAATCAACCCCTTTGTGTTCATTCATCACTAATTAGCTGATCATGATCTTGGCGTCTGTTATCTAAAACCCTTTTCTATCCACGTTTTCTTTTAGAATCCATCCTTCAGAAACTTGGTTTTAAGCTTTGAATACTGTTTTCATGCTTTGATGCATAATCTTATTTGATATGTGTAATGTGTTATAGGTTGTATCCGCTCAAACTGCACTTCATGAGGAGAAAACTGAAGAAACAGTCAAGGATCAAGAAACAACAGTCGAAGAGGTAGTTTCCGAAGCACCTGCGGCGGAGCCTGTTGCCGAAGAGACGAAGGAAGCCGAGCCTGCAACAGTTGTAGTGGAAGCGACGGCAACCGAGGAACCTGTGGCTACTGAACCTGAAGCCTCAGCTGAAGTTGAAACGAAGGAGGAGGCACAAGAATCCCAGGTTGTCATCGAGAAGACAGTAGAGGAGACTGAGACTCCTGAGGAAACAGTGCCGGAACCAGTTGCCGAAGAGGAGAGCAAGGAAGCCATTGAGCCCACCGTTGACACCAAGGAAGCTACAGAGTCTAGTGAGACACCAGCTGAACCCGAACTCGAAACAGAGTCCGCTATCGAAGCACCCAAAGAGGAAGCCGAGTAGGAAGAAGAAGAAGAAGCAAAACCAGCTGTGCGTGTTATGTCATGTTCTCTTTACCTGTAAAGGGTTGGGTTTGTTGAATCTCGAACCAGCTTGGGTTCAAGTTTAATGTTTTAGATGTTATGTTTTCATTACATAAGGCAGTGTGTATAGCCTGCATGTTGTCTTGAATGTCTTTTGCTTATAATAAATCTGTCCTTTTGTTCAACGTTTGTTCAATGTCAAATTTCTTACTATTGATCCAATATTCCCAAATATCTGATATCTGGTTTTTGTTCCATAGAATCTGAGATCATCCATTTTCACTTCTCACATTGTTTCTTCTCTTAAAGTTGGTACAAAATGTGGTCGCTGATCACGTTCTAATATGGTTTGATCAAGTTTTTCGTGAGTTATGTTACTGTACTTTAATATTTTTTTAGAGTTAATTGCATCGTATATTTTTAAATTATAACTTTTATTTTAAATTGATCATTAAACTTTTGAATATTTAAATTTCATTTTCAAACTAGACTCTCATTCTAAATTAATCCTCAAACTTTTAAATTTCATTATACTTACATAGGCCATCGTTAGAGTAGAAGGCATGGGAGCTAGCAAGTACCATTGATGGAGCTTGGGGAAACGAAAAATACAAGCACTGGAGCTATTGTAGGAAGACGTCGTGTCTTCCGTACATCTTTCATCAAAGATGCGTGTCTTTCATACGTCTTTCCAAAGACGTCAAGTGATTCATGCAACTACCGATTGGTATTATAACACTCACACTATTTGAAAAAAAAAAAATCTACATCACTCCATATGAACAAATTCATTTTCTCGTTACATTATCCCAACAGAATTGCCATTTTAAAGGATAACTTCTTATATGGCTAAACTCTAAAAGGTCACACTAATTTCCTCTTACTCTTTTATGTACATATAGCGATGAATGTTGATTTTGTGTTAAGGAGATAGAAATTTTAAGTAAATATATTAAACAGTTTGAAAAAAGAAATTTTGAAATTTTAAAAATTATGAATTTAAATTACAAAAGATAAAAAAATTAATAAATTATATAAAAAAACATTTTCAAAAATTATAACTCCAATGCTCCTAGATCCATCTATATATGAAAACTTGAGAGTTTTATGAAAATTTAGGGGAAAAACATTTTTACCCCTTGTCTTCATATAGAACCACGTTAGATGTTGATAATGAAAAATGGGCCCAGGGGCTAATGAAAGTTTCACAGGCTATTATGTTTGGGCCTAATCAAAGGTCACTTGGTTGATTTTTTTTTTACATAAATATATATATTTTGATCAAAGAAAGTATTAGGGGTTTATCTAAAAAAAAGTATTAGATGTAATAATAAGATACATTATATTTTTAGAAAGAGAATTCAAGTTCAAATCTTAAAATATTATATAAGTTTTATCATCTAACGAGTTTGTCTTAATTTTCTCTCTTTTCTTTGGTCATCATTAGTATTTTTTGTTTTTTTTATCATTGTGATTGGTGATGATACCAGTCTGATCGTCGATGTTTATCTTTTTATTTTATTTTATTGTAGTATATTTTTATTTTTTTATTTTTTAATTTTTAATAACTCTACTTTTACGATACGTTTTCCTCTGTATTTATGACACGATTTTTGTTGTCTTTATGACACGTTTTTCAGTCATTTGACTTTTGTTTTCGTTTATACTTTTTTGGGATTGGATTTGATATCACCACGACTGATCAAGACGACACTTATTTATTATTATGTTGACCTTCTCTGTTTTGGACCCTTATATTATATTTAGATACATGATTTGTGTTCGTGAATACTTTTTTCACATCGTCCGACTCTGATTTGCAATTTGTTCGTGGTATTTCAATACATTTATTCCTTTTTGTGGTTCATTTGTTGATGCGGACAGATCTATTAGTATCTACATTTTGTTTAAGTTTACTTTGTTAGATTTTTAAGTTTTTTTCTTCTAGTTTTCTTGTGTTAATGATTATATGAAAATGTTTTTATTATGTGTTTAGTACATAATTATAATTATAAATATAAACTACCATTTGGGATGATCCTCCAAAGGAGTTATTACTCCAGCTGGGGGCATATCTTAGATGGGATGAGGTGTTAAGGATGTAACTTCTTTCTTTAGTCATCTTGTGTATTGAAAAGGGAAATAGTTTTGAACTTTTGTTATAATTTGAATATTTTTTGTTTTAAATAAAACTAATTTGTTATTAAAAAAAATCAAGTCTTAAAAGTGATATTATTAAGATAAGAAATCACGAACTTTGAACATATACCATAAGACATGAGGCCAATATGACTGCAGATTTTATGGCAAAATCTGTCGATAACTTCAACGGTGTACTCTCGACCTTCAGCAGTGCCGCACCAGAGCTTCTTCTTATTCTCGCCTAACTTGTTTCTAGGCTCCTTTCAATTCGAAAATATATATATATATATATATATATATATATATATATATATATATATATATAGTGCTTAAATTAGACTTTAAGTTAAAACGTAAACAATTTTGGGTTGAATAAAAGAAATCAGACTTAAGCATCTATTCGAATGATGAAACTAAATTTGAACACCTAATTGAATATTAAAATCAAGTACATGTAAGAAAGGGATGCTTATCTTATTTTTATGGGAAGTAACGTTGAATTTAAGATGAACTTTTTATTTATAAATTTTAAAGATTAAGATGTACATTTATCCACCTTTAATCTTATTTACATCCGCCTCGGGACCTTTCGCCGTCGGAAGGGTTTTTATGTTGGTGTCGTTGCTAATAACCAAATGCTATTTCTTCCTGTGGGCACGAGGAAAGAAGCTTCTACGAAGAACAGTGCAAGTGCTCCTTTCATTAAATTTAATATCAGTCTAAATGTTTTAATTTAGGACTGAGTATAGCAATCAATTACCTAAACATTACATTTTTTATACTTAACGCGTCCCATCCAATAAGTCATAGTCATAGGGTCATAACTGGAGAAAGATATTTTTATCCCATTTTGAAGACATTCAAAATAGTGGGCTTTACCAATCATTCACCAATATCCTCTACATTTTTAATAAGATTTATTTCATCAAATTAATTTCTAAAATATTGTGGTTAACATAAAAGTTTCTAGAACGCACGCTTACATTTTCTAATTATTATTATTATCATTATCATCGTCGTTATTATTTAATTTAAGTTATCAAGAATTCTTTCTTTTTTATTAATTCTAGATGATTATAAATAATATATATTTTAAATATTTGACAATAAAAGTTTAGAATAGTTCTGGGTCAGGCAAAAGGGACACCACCCAGGACCCACAAATTAAAAATATTTTTAATATAATATTTTGCTTTTATTTTAAATAAGAAATTAAAAAATTGTAAAATAAGATATAATTTTTTTAAAAAATTATAAAATAAAATAATATGACCCATAAATATATGAAGATGTAAATTGTAATTATTGAATTTTTATATTAATGTTAATAAATAGTTACACTTCACAAAAAAAACTCTAATTAAAATTTTATATAACATTTTTTATTTGTTTTTGAATTAGGGGCCCAATTTTTAATTTCGCCCCTGGTTAAAAAATAGTCAAGACCGATCCTGTAAAAGTCGAAACACCTTTACAATTTTTTATATTTAAATGCGAAACATCTATGATAACAATTGTTCATTTAACTATTGATGTAGCTTGATTAATGTAGAATTCAATCTAAGTTTTCTTTAATTCAAGAATTTATGCTTAATAATCGGTCCATATTAATCTTATATAATGTATATTATATACTTTTATCAAATCTTAATATTTTACTTTTAATTAAAATTTTCAAAAGTAAAGTTCGTGATTCACGAACTGCAATGAATATATGTAATAATTTAAGAATATGATAAAAAAAATAAAAACAAAATCAAATTGCTATTTGGTCAATGACTTTCTCGTAACTATATATTCTCAATGTTCACTATATGGCGTACAGTGTGGGCTGATACCAGATGGCGCCATGAAAATGACAACACATATAAGATGAAAAAAATGATGTAAGAACCGTGATTATTATAAGCCTAAACTATGTATTTAGTCATTTGACTATTCAGGTGGTTTTGTTTTAGTCACTTAATTATTTTAAAAAAAATCATAGTTAAACATATATTTTGATCATATTTCGTTTAAAAATAATGATTATGTTGATGTGTCACCACAATGAAATACTATATCATCATTGAAAAATGTAAAAGAAATTGTCACATAAATAGTTATGCTTATTTTTTAACGATGTGGGATCAAAATGTAAATTTAGGTATGACTTTAATAAAATAGTTGAATAATTAATACAGAATCACATAAATAATTAGGTGATTAAATACATAATTAATCTTTATTATAATATAATTAAATTTCAAATACGAACTCGATATGTATTTGAAATGCATAAATTACATCAATTAAATTTAGATGCATCTATCATGTTTATTAAACTTAATACATTTATATTATAATTAAATTTCAAATTTTAATATTCGTTTTATTTTAAAATTACGAAATCTTTTACGGAGAAACATAAGATAAATAGGATTCGATCCAAACTATGAAAGAGTGATGATTCCATGGACGAGACATCTAGGGCAATAATTGGGACAACTCAAGCTCGAATATCGAATGAAAGATATTTTCCGGCTCAACCTTTTGTCTCTAAGGCTTTAAATTCGGCTGCTCTTCGTACGTACTGGAATGAACATTGTATTTGCTACAATAAGATTATTCTCCACCACTGCAAAAAGACAGAATGAAAATGAAAAAGAGAAATTCCTCCATTAAAAAGCTTTGTATTCAAGCGTGCAACTTTGTCGGCATGCTGGCCATAACCATACCCCATAATTACAGGAAAAAGTGAAAATCTCGAGTGAAAACATGGCCTTAAGAAAGGAACCCGATGAACCCTTTGTGATAAACACCAGCACTTCCACCAACTTGTCATTATCATAAACCTATCTACAAAGGGGTGGCCCCTTAATTCCATTTCTAGCTCTCAAATCTCTTCATTTTGACTTCCTACCCACAGCCGGAAACACCGAGAGAGAGAAAAAATGTGGCGTATGCTGGTGACTTTGCGACGGAACCTTCAAAACATCAAGAAAAGCCACCGTGTAGCGGATGAGAACATGGTGGTCGGAGGAGGAGGGAACAATAATGGAGGCGAGATGCCGGGTTTCGAGGATAGGAGGTTGAATGGTGTTTCTGTGATTTGCAGCGTTGTTAGAGCTCCTTTTACACTGGTTTCTTGCTTCTCCCAACCCCATGTTAATGGCGCTGATGGAGTCTGGGTTTCCAGCCGTGAATTTACTCAAATCTCAGAGATGAATCATTTGATGGTAAGTGATAGTATGCGTTATGCAATCTTGATGTAAAAGATCATAGAGAAAAGGATTTTAGCTACTCTATTATAGAATGGTTTTCTCTTCTTATTTGATCTCTTGGGATACTCATTTTTTTCTGGATAATTCAATCATATATTACCCAAAGAGCAAGAAATGCTACAAAACCAGTGTTCAAATTACAGGTTACAAGGAATGCTAATTACAAAATTTACAGCAATCAAATAATACCCCAATTGTTACAAAGAGTGATATTAGTGGGATCTAATCTATTAATGTTTCTTCCCCTTAATTGAAAACCAACTGTTTCCTTAATGGCATGAAACAAATCTTCAATGGTTATTGAACGTTCTTGAAAAATCCTTTTGTTTCGTTCCTCCCAAAGAGAGTATATAAGGGCATTGGAAGCAATCTTTAGAATGTATGTGAGAAGGGATTTACCCTTCCATTTAGCAGCAGCCCAAGCAAGGAGATCATTCCATGACAACAGATTGTTTTGCAAACCATTAAGAGAGAAGACAGCAGTCCATAATGAACTAGCTGCAGGACATTCGAAGAAGAGATGATTCCTAGTTTCCATAGCAGCACCACATAAAACACAATGACAATCATTAAGAAGACCCATGCGTTGTAACCTTTCTTTTGTTGGAAGCCTATCAAGGAAAACCATCCTAGTAATTAAACTGTGTTTGGGACGTGAAGAGGGAACCATATCAGCTTATGCCATTGGACTTTGGGGGACTTAACCCTGTTAACATTCCAGATTTCTTTAACTTTTGTCATAGAATGTTGCATAATAGAGATAGCTTCTGATCTCATTTTCAATATTTGCCTTATGTTCCAGCTCATGGAAGACTTTATCTCAATATTCCAGAAATCATTGACATTGAAGATGTAGTTTCTAAGCCATGCCACCCATAAAGAACCGTCGCCTGCTAAAATCTGTTTAATGAGAAGCATCAGACATGCCTTATTCCATGATCTTAAGTCTTTAAGGCCAAGACCCCCTTCAGATTTTGGGAGACAAATTTTCTGCCAATTCACCCTTGCACCAGTAGCAGATTTGTCAGTCCCCTTCCAGAAGAACCTTGAACAGAGCTGCTCGATCTTTTTAATAACAGAGGAAGGAAGAATTAATTGCCTGCACCAATAGTTTGCAATGCTATATAACACTGCTTGGATTAATTCCAATCTGCCAGCATAACTGAGTGATTTACCAGACCAGAAATGTAATCTAGCTTTAATATTATCAATGAGAGAAGAACAATCTTTTTCAGAAATCTTCCTGGTGACTAAGGGGATACCTGGGGATACCTAAGTAACGAACAGGGAGACTGCTAAGCTTAAAGCCAGTAATCTGTTTAATTTTCACAAGATCAGCAGAGGGGATACCAACAGTAAACAGATAACATTTAGAAGCATTAAGGCTTAACCCAAACATCTCATAAAAGAGATCAAGGACAGTAGTAACACCAAAAACAGAATCCACAGACCCTTTGCAAAGTATTAAAAGGTCATCAGCAAAAGAGAGGTGAGTAAGAGCAATTCTTTTGCATTTTGGATGGTAACCAAAAGCACCTTTAGTTGCTGCCATGTTGAGGAGTCTTGAAAGAATATTCATTGAGAGAACAAAAAGAAAAGGAGAGAGGGGATCTCCTTGCCTAACTCCTCTTGCACCTTTGAAATGACCAATTAAGGTCCCATTAAAAGAGATAGAGTAGGTAGCAGTAGAAAGACAGATTTCAATCCAGTTAATGAAGACAGGAGGAAGACCTAGAGCTTTTAGAATAGCAATGATGAAATCCCAATTTAGAGAGTCGAATGCTTTGTGAAAATCAATTTTCAAAGTTCATCTAGGAGAGATACTATTCCTGTTGTAGCCTTTGACAAGTTCCTGAGCCAAAAGGGTATTGTCAACAATGTTTATGCCTTTGATAAAAGCAGTTTGGTTGAGAGTGATGAAGTCAGGAAGAAATCTGGAAAGTCTGTTGGCCAAAATCTTAGAGATTGCTTTGTAAACCACAAAGCAACATGAAATGGGTATGAAGTCTTTGACTTTATTTGGATTTGGAATTTTTGGAACCAATGCAATGGCAGTGGCATTAAAAGCATGAAGCAAAAAAGCATCCTTGAAGAAATGTTGTAGGACAGCAGTAGTGTCTTCAGCAATGATAGGCCAGGACTTTTTGAAGAAAAGAGGAGAGTACCCATCTGGGCCAGGGGCTTTGTCATTCCCTTGGGTAAAGAAAGCTTCTTTAATTTCCTCGTTTGAGATATTTTTTATAAGATCAACAGTAGATTCAGAAGGGAAGGAAGACTGAAGGAGGTCCTTTAAGAGATGAGGATCATGATGTTTAACATTTAGGTCAGGGGAACCTAACAGATTTGAGAAGAAGTTTATAACTTCAGAGGAGATACCATCAAAAGTTTCTAATCTATTCCCTTGATCATCAACCAGAATTATGATATTGTCTCTTTTTTTTTAAAAGCAACAGCATAGTGAAAACACTGAGTGCATTTATCACCCTCCTTAATCCATTGAACCTTGGCTTTTTGTTTTAAGAACTTATTTTATGCATCTTCAAGAGTTTTTAATTCTTTTTGTAATTTAAGCTCATCTTCAAAAACAACCTCCCCTTTAAGAGTTTTAATTTGCTGAAGTTCAAGTTCTGATTTCTTCTTTTTTACCCGGTCTGACAAGTCACTGTAAAAAGTCTGGTTAAGCTCCTTAAGATGAGGCTTAAGTCTCTTCAGCTTAGTGAAAAGGATTTGCATAGGGTTGCCAAATGAAGGAATTTGCCAAGAGTTATTGACAACATTAAAAAAATGTGGGTCTTGGGTCCAGAAATTAAAGAATTTAAAGGGTTTAGGCTGATTAGCTTGGGTTTCTTTATAAAGCCATAAGATAGAAAGACAGTGGTCAGATGTGTCAGTCTTAATTAGTTTGATATCGATACATACATATTTATATGTATATGTATTGGTACGAATGAACAAGTACAGAACACCTTAACTTTGAAATATTTTCAGGGTTTAATCTTATACTTAGTCTTTGTATTGGTTGTTTATATGTATTTATATTCTGGTTTCTCACGATTTCTTAATTTGTTTCATGAAATTACAAATCAAGTCCCCCAAGATAGAAAAATATCGATAAACCCTAATCTTTATAGTTGAAACAATAGAATAATGGCACTAAAAGGGAAAATAAAAAGAGGAAAGAGTTTGTGGTTTTCTTTGCAGAGCTTTGCCACTGCCGGGTATCAATGCTACAAGTAAATCATTAATAAATTGGAAAAAGAGATAAGTTGGAATCATTTTGTTTTTTCATCTTTAAATTAATTAATATAATTTGTACTTCTAAATCTAATAAACAAATATAATTTGTTTTTTCATTTTGAATGATGACAACATCTCTTTGAATTAATTAGTAGGATATTAGATTTGATTATACAGTACAAATAAAACAAGTTATGTCGAATCAATTCTAAAACTTCTACTTTCCCAAACACCAATTAACTATGATCACATCATTGATTCCTGAAGACATATTTGAAGAAAATTAAACTTAAAAGTTGAATTTATTTTATTAATATTATGTCTTCAATTAGTGATGATTGAGTAAGCTAATTAATTAATAGTTTAATACAATAGAGTGTGCAACATCTGCATTCAATACTCAAAATGAATGTTGATGGCACTGGTTTAAAGATGGGAAAAATTAGGGACAACAGTTTTTTTTTTGGGTACTTTGATTACGACCATAACTTTATAATTATCATTAGCTTTTGAGCACTATAATGTTACTGTTAAGGAATATACAAAGATTTGGATTAGTTGGGTACATAAATAAAATTTCAATGATTAAAAGAGATATAATAAAAATTTAGGGGTTATTTTTTTAAATAACTTGATATAATTATAAGATATTATATGTTCAGAATTTTCTTAACTTATTAATCACACACATCATACAAACTCAATTATTCGAACCTATAATCTCTAAACAATAATATCATTTTTTACCACTAAGACCAATTATAAGATCTTATTTATGCAAGATTAAGCATACACATTTTGAACATAAATGAATATTTCAGTGTTTAGATATTGTTTAAAATTTAGGGTAAACTACACTATATACTACCATACTTTAGGCGTTGTATCGTTTGTACCATTGAATTTTAAATTTTACAAATTATAGCATTAACACTACAATAAAACTGTTCTGTAGCGGCATTTGGAGAGAAAATGCCACAAAAGTGTTACATTTAGCATCGTTTGCAATCCAAACGCCACAAATTGAGACTTTAGCGGCGTTTTTTGTGAAAACGCTGTAATAGAGTTGAAATATAGCGGCGTTTTTGGCCATAGGGTGGTATATAGTGGTGTTTTTCCAACAAACGCCGCAATTAAGAATAGTTTTGCATCGTTTTTAGACAAACACCACAGAAGGGTTAATCAATAGCGACGTTTATAGTAAAAATGTCGCAATAGAGTAGACATTTAGCGGCGTTTTAGCCCAAACGCCGTAATAGAGTGTTAATGTAGCGGCGTTTATACCACAAACGCTCCAATAGAGTGGTAAATTAGTGGCGTTTGTATCTAAAACGCTGCAATATGGTTGTTTAAGTGGTGTTTTTTGTATAAACGCCGCAAAAAACATGTGATACAATGGCGTTTTTTAAAAACGCCACAAAATGTTAAATATATTGTCCTCCATTTTCTCCCACCCAAACCTTAAAATCATTTCAACTCTTCTTCCCTCACAGTTTCTTCTCTGGTACAACAACGACCCTCACACGATTCCAAGCGACATCGTCTTTTGTCTGTCCCGACGACCAAATCGACCCTCTCACTGATGAACTATAACATAATTCCACGGTTTGATCCCTCTTATCACTAATGATCTTTTTCATTTTTGTTTTGGTTGGTATTCTGAAAATAGGGAAACCTCAGAAAGCTAACGTATTTGAGAGAAAAAAAAGCAGGTCTTGCATTGAGTAAGAGAAATTATTGTCGGAATGACTACGTGGCATCTTTGCTCTGACGATGGATCAAATTATTGTTAGGAGGCTATCGGTCCGGTCTCGCCGTCGAAACTCGATGATGACTCGAAAGGAACTCATATTGCTCCATACCCTTCCATGGCCGATCTCCTACTTGAAGGTAATAATCTACGATTCTTTATGCCACTATATTTCCCTTTTTGTACGCTCACTCAAATTTCATAGATCGTACACATTTAGGATCTTCGAAGCTTATTGAGAACGATGATAGAGGAATGGATAAATACCTTATGTTTAGAACCGAATTTGGTAACTCTATGGCGTTGAAAGAATCTTCAATTGCAAAAGCAGTATCGATCCTCAATGAAGACGATATTGCCTCTACTGCTACTCCAAGTAAACGTTCATATCATTTATTTAAATTTATTTTAATGTTTGATTCAATTCCCAAGCCACCTCCAATCAAGTTTCATACTATAGGTGAAGGGTCATTATCTGTTTCAAGTGAAGCACTGAAGTGCGCAAGGAGTCTTCTTGGTGAACCAGAGGTAAGAGATTTATTTGGTGAAAGGGATGAAGAGTTTCTCCATATAGAGTTTACACGGAGGAAAAACTTGACGATGCGTCGTCAAACAAGGAAAACAACTTTCCTACGTTCTTT